GTAATACATTGATAATATTGGATTAAGGACACATAAAATTTATATAAAAAATAATTAATTCAATAAAAATGTTATTGAAAAATTTTAATATTTGTATTTTTTAAAGTGGTTTTTCGAACAGTAGTGAACTACAACAACAAAAACTTATTCTATATTATTTTAATTAAATGAATATTTGACTGAACATATAGCTGTTTCGAGTATTGCCAAATACCCATCATCAGTAGTCTTGGAAATAATTCTTGTATTTAATTATTCGTAAATAATTTTTTTTTGAGACTTCAAGAACAGAATTGAACTCGTGTCCTGCCAAATTTGAAACTCAGGGTCAGAGTGTTTTTATTTTTAAATAATACTATTGTTCAAATTATAAACAACTTTTTAATTGATTTTTAAAAATTTAATTTCATTTTCACAAATATTTCAACAAACGTCTTGAGTCATCTTCAGGATACTGATCAGTTATGTGAATTATTCACTAATAAGTCCGTTACAAAAATTTTATTAATTAATAAAATTTTTTGGCATTAAGTTAAAAAATTATTGAAAAATTTTAAAGTAATATATTCAACTTAACATATTTTAAAAAATAAGTAAATTTTAAATATTTATTCCGCAAAGAACTCACATGCACTGCAGATGCAAATGGTATGTACTTCAACTCTTAAATATCTAAAATAGTTTAAATCTTATATTTGGTAAATGTTCAAGTTTTGTCGTATAGAATTTTTTTATATGCACATTATATTTATTTCATATTTTTCAAAATAAATTTCTTTTTGTAAATATAAGATTAGAAACGTGAACAAGAAAAATCTTTTTCAATTTTTAATAGAAAGGAGCTCAAGTTTTATTTTATTACTCCATTAAATACTAATGCTATTTGATATGCATATTTCTACATATATGTTTAGTATAACAATATGAATAATAAATACATTCGACAACATTTATGCCAAAGAGCTTTAAAAATGGCTTCAGGTACTATTTACAAAGTTTGTAATTTATTCTTATCTCTTTCGATTTAATCCTTTCATAACGAAAGATTACATTAAGTGATGACAGATAAAATTTCATTTGGATCGTATTTTATAACTTTGTTTCATATATATATTATTTCGTACTCATATGTCACAATTAATGTGCATAAATATGCGACAAACCGAGCAATATTATTTAATATAATATAATATCAAAGTCATTGAAGTTAATTTCATGGATATATTAAGTTTCAGTAAAAGTTGACTAAGCATAAGTGGCGCTGAACCCTTTCAAACTATGTAATGTAAATGCAGATTGTTAGATTAATTTTTTAATAAGTATTTCAAATCCACTGAAAAATTTTAGAAATAGGCCGGTATTTTGTAAATAGCAGTGAAATCCTTCTGATAATACGCTTGCCTCTCCAACCCGGGGAGTTACTACGATTACGATGACACTTATCTCTGTCAAAAATTTAAAGACATTCTAGAACCGGCATACCAACTTTCAACAACGAATATAAAACTCTTCTGTCTATCAGTCAAACTTGGTTCAGTACACTGTTTCGCAACAAAATAGGATAGAGCAATCCAATTTTATATATAAACTATTCTCGGGCACGCTTAATAGGTTAATTATCTTCAGAAATCCGTACTTTTATAGTATTTTTCAAAATTAAGTTACAACCAACATTAAATCTGCTAAAATGGCACAGTGTAATATTAAATTGTTTGTCGAGGATTACATTTTCACTGTTAGCCAAGCCACCATAATATAACTTAAAAATGTAGTGTCTAGATCAAAAGAGTTATAGTTGCAAACAACGTTCATTTCATTTGATTCCCAGGTCATTCTGATAGCTGAGCACGGCACTACTCTTCTAACAGATATGGTAGGAGATAGGAATCCACTTTCCCCTTTTTACAAATGGAAGAGATGGTTCTTTGTTTTTTGTATATTTCACATATCTTATTAATTATGTATTAATAAAGATGTATTATAATTATTAAATAGGGGAAGCAAGCATTGGATACACAATTATAGTATCGGGCATATTTCAGCAAGCTTTATTTACCCATTTGATATATAATGCTAATATAATTACATTTTTTCTTAAGTCATCAACACTGGTCATTCTTCCAACACATACTTCCAGATCCTATTCTCATTTTTTCAAAGCTTACCAATTTCAATTCCAATTATCAATTGAAATAGAGTAAATTCCAAGTTTTATTAAACATCTAATCAAGCTACAATATCCTGTCAGAGTTTCTTTGATGCTAAAAATTATGTTAATTTATTTATAACAAAGTAAATTGTCGTAGTAGAGTGTTCTCTGTTTACTGTTTTCTTCTATTCAGCAATCTTCTTAATCTTTCACTCGGTAATTTTTTGGATCAATAGAGTAAATTCCAAGTTTTATTAAGCGTCTAATCAAGCTACAATATCCTGTCAGAGTTTCTGTGATGCTAAAAATTATGTTGATTTATTTATAACAAAGTAAATTGTCGTAGTAGAGTGTTCTCTGTTCCTGTTTTCTTCTATTCAGCCCTCTTCTTAATCTTTCACTCGGTATTTTTTTGGATCAGCATCCTCGAGGGGTTCTGAACTTTATAGTATGCTATAGTATCTTATTGTATGCTGTCGATAGTGAGAGAAAAATACTTAAAATATTTAATTAAATCTTAATTAATAAAAATAACATTTAGAAGTTGTTTTATTTTGTATAAATATTTAACTTTATAATACAAAAGCCTTAGTTAAACACATAATATCATATATTTTGGATGCAATTATGTACTTTATTTATTCAAAAAATACATTTTTTTTTTAATTTAATCATAAAACTGCGCCCACATTAAAGAAATAAAGGTTCATATTATATAATGAAACAACATATTGTGAGTATTACCAGAAAATGTACTCGTAATATGAAAAAATACAAAAAATGGAAGAAATGGAAGAAAAACAAACAGAATTGTCCCTCAGGTAACATTGCAGACATCGTATTGAGCTGAGCTGTATCCTGGCATTTGGATTGTTGGAGGAGCATAACGAAATTAATAAAAAACACAAAAACGAGGCAGAACTTTCCAGACTCAATACTCGACTAGCGTATATTTAACTTTTATAAAATATATTTTCCTTTGTTTTATTATGTATGTTTATGTTAAGCAGACTGTAAAAATGTTGTTAGTACATTTGAAGCGAATGCGGCATTTGCTTGTTTCACATGTCAATTCCATTAGTCACAAGCTCCGTGCGGTGCTGGCTGGCTTTCATTATTTAACCATACAAAAATTAGTAACATTTAAACATTTCGTCGGAAATTGTCATACGAGTTTAAATGCTGCTGGTAGAGCAGGGAAAATAATTGTAGCTACATCGGCACCAGAAGCACCAGAAATTGCTGTGTACCTGTATCTTGTATCCTGCCGTTCTGCTTTCCTCCTACATAATGAAGTTCCTATTCTTCCTCACATGCCGCATATATTATTTTACATATATTTATTTTGCTTCTAATGTATTTAAATATGATTTTTTTTTATTTTTATAAATATTTATTCTCTCAAGCACTACTCGTATCATATGCAGTGTCAAGTACAAAGTATAAGTATATACACTGGTATCTGTGTATCTCTTAAGTGCAAATAACATGCTTGTAAAGTAATTATAAATTAAAATATTACGGTATTTGACACTTAAAAATAATTTATGTTTCATGAACCGTGTGATTTAGCTAAGTTTATTAGATCCCTTAAAATTAAAGTTTAAATAGAAGAGTTCATTAAAAAATTTCGGTACATTCGCTTTACTCTTGGTGATTTGAACTCTAAACTATATTATATATCTTCAAGATTCACAAGAGAGTCCTTTACACAAGAGATTTGCTATAAGTTCTGCTATTTCTGCATTGTGAGCACCTTCCGTCCGTAATTTATTAAGAGTATTATTGGTTTAAATAAAAAAGCTATGGATTTTTCAGACGAACCAATTGATTATTGCAATAAGATGATTTTGGAAAATAGTGAAACCTAAAGAAAGGTCTTAAGATATAAAAATGGTTAGCGATATTGAATAAAGAGCAACTTAAAATATAATAAAAAGAAAAATCTCAAATGACAGCACTACAAAAGATCCAACTAATACTATAGGTAAATATTTAGATTTTAGATCACACCTAGCAATTCACTATATGAGACAGAAACAGAGAGAGAGAGAGAGAAATACTAACCTACGAGTTTAGACATAAACTAATTAATAAATGTTTTTTAAATATTTTATATTTATGTCACTTTTTTGATGAAATTAAAATTAAACGTTTGTTTAATATTTTTTAATATGTTCTATATATCGACTCTCCTTGAGAGTCGTCATTAGGATCAGAATCCAAAATTAATAAACATACATTAATATTAATAAAAATTATATCTAAACGTCATGTACTTGTTTCTGTTCCATATATTACCCAATATAGACAACATAATCAAGAACTTTTAATTTTAGTTTTAACAAAAAGGTGACCTGAAGAATATAAAATATATAAAAAACAACATTAAAAAACAGATCGAGAAACTTTAATAACTAATAAATATAAACATCCAGTTAATAGTAGAAACCTAACACATATTCAAAATCATATCTTACGCAATCGTAAGATAAACCGCTTCGATATCGACTTATAATAGACATCAAAATAGAAAGAATTGTTTTAAAAATTTAAATATTACCATCTAGAACAATCTGTACAACGATTGAACATACAAATACTAACGAATGATTAAATAATAAATAGCACCACATTCATTTTAAACATCTTGGAATTGTATAGTACAACTGTTGTAAAATTATATTAAAATCAAATTCGTATTCAAATACAATCTATAACAGCTAAATTTTTTATTTATATATACTTC